GGCCTGCCGCGGGGAGGGAAGCGTGGCGGCCTGAGTGCTGCCCCGGCTCACGGGCGCGCGGCACCTACTCCCGAGGCTGCAGGACTCGAGTGCCCGGTGCTCCTGTTGCAAAGCCCTCGGAGTCTCCCCGCGCAGCCAATCAGCTCCAGGCTGAGGCCAGCCGCACTCATTTAGCCCGTCAGTCACCGGTGCAATTAGCCAATCACTTCACTTGCAAGAGGGTTCGGCTTACTAGAACTAAACACAGGTCAACACCCCTTAAAAAACCAAATCAAATAAATAAATAAATAAATAAAAGAAGAGGGAAAATAAAGAGAGAAAATAGGAAAAGAAAAGAAAGAAAATAGAAGTGCGGGGTGAATAAAGAGACTGTCTAACGCTGTTATTAACTTACATCGGATCGCAGAGAAGCAAGGAATTTAATAGTACTTGCAAATCCATGAGATAATGAAGACTCTTTTTTACACTTCTTAATTTCAAGCAGCAGCCCACCAGACAAGCAGCTCGTCTCCTCGGTTTTTCTCTCTGTAGCTGCAGTACAAAGACAGGCAGTTTCCCGACAAACCTGAGCTCAGAGAGGCAGGAGCGGCAGAGGTCTGCTTTTAAAACCCCGGCTAGCCAGACTCGGCCCTTGCAAAGACAAGAAGGTGTAGTTAGGGCTGTTTGCTGGTTTAAAAATTCAGCGTCTTTCCAGGTGGGACATCCGGATGGTGGCCCTCCAACAACACCAGAGGCGCTAGGTAAATGTTGCTCAATGTGGCAGGAAATTTTGCTAGAAAGGTGTTAGCTTTAGGAGGGCAGCTTTAAAAAGTAAAAGAAAAGAAAAAAAAAAAAACCCTACACAAGTCCCAGCCTGACAGCACGTCTGTGTGTGCATGCATATCCACATTGACATGTTTGTGGTGTAGAAAGCCAAAACATTAAAAACACATGTGCACTTATCAGCCTGGTGTGTGTAAATATCGAATCCATCACTCAAGCACACATGCTACATTCAGAGCTGGCCCAGGAACCTCAAGTCAAAACCAAGGGCTCCCATTAAGGCAAAAGGCAAGAGGAGAGTAGTAGCAGCCCTCCCCCACCCCAGAAACAGCAGTCTCCCTGCCACCTTCCACCTCAGTTTCTGAGAATTCTTTCTATGTTCAACATTCTTCTGAGAGAGAGAGTTAAGCTCCAGAGAGCTGGAAGTGTGACCATGACTGACCCCAGGGACAGGAGACAACAGCAAGCAGTTCGCAAAGTTCGATGGGTCTCCACATTGCATGTGTCATGAAATGCGGAGGGAGGGAGGCGAAGAATGCTGAAAACCCCGCATCTGAACAGTGTGGTACCGCCCCATGTGGCAAATGGGCCACAGACCTTAGAACTGAAGGCAGACACTGTAGGAGGCGCTGCCTTGCCAGGCCAGCTTGTTTGTAAGACTCCAGGGAAGCTGGCTTTGGATTCTGCAGACCAAATTTCTTGATGGACAGACTCCAAGTAAAACTACTTGAGTTTGTGAAGAAGCAAGACTATTTTCTTAAAGCACTCGTGTCCATATGGAGATTGTGATTCCGCTGTGCACACAAGAAGCATCTGCAGATGGTCAACTTCTCTGTCATTTCTAAGCTAATGAAAGATCCACCAAAGCTAGAAAGGGGCAGAATGGAGGGAAAGCAATCCAAGAGAGATAAAGCAAGACTTTGGGTGGCAAAGGGTTAATTCCTAAACAATGCTCAGCTGGAGAAGCTGGAGAAGACATTCCTCACAGAGAATAGACCACAGGAGACCAAGCCACTATGTCTCAATTCAAAGGGGATTTAGAGAAAAATGTTCTTTGGTAGGGGGTCTTTTCTCTAGACAGGCCCTCAAGCCCAAGCCAAATGTGTCTGTTTACTCACTCCCCAGAAAGAGTTGTATTAGTAGATAACATTCTCTCACCTCTGAATCTGGGCTTGGTGGACCTCTCACTCATGTTTGCACAGTTTACCCAAATGGTGGGAGGACTCGGGTCTCTCCCCTGTTAGAATTCTGGAAATTCGTCCAGGTAACTGTTCCTCTACCAGTCCTGGAGTCTCAAGTAGGGTGTAAATCTCACAAATCCATTCATAGGAGGATCTAGCCAATGTCTGGTTATTCCTCCCCTGACTGATCACCTCTAATCCCCAACTCCGGGATTCCTCCCTTGACTGATCAACTCCAACCCCCAGATGGTCTTACTGCTTTAGAGAGAGGCCTCTTAGGCCATGCCACGGTCACAATTGTCTGAAGGACAAGCAGGAAGTGTGGGTGTATATAAGACCCCAAAATTCTAAACTCAGTACATTTCTGGCACCTTCCAAGGCCCAGCTGGAAAGGAAGGACTTTAGGTTTCAGTTCCACCGACAGACTTGAACCCACATGTAGGATTTTGGAGGATAACTGCCAGTCAGTTCACATACGGTGTAACAGAGCCTGACAGAAGAGCCTGAAGACTTCGTATTTAGTGTTGAGCACAGTTTTATTTTTCCTTTTACATATTCTCAAATCTTTGCACCTCAAAGCCCAGCCTCGCTTTTCCTAATGTCAGGAATGTGTGTGTGTAAAGGAGAAAGTTCTAGAACAAAGGTTCTTTAAACACGGTACTGACATGACAGAGCTCCCAGAAACCAGGGTTCTTGAATATAAGAACAGGGGCAAAATACAACTTTAAACCTGTGTTTTTTATTTCAAAAAAATTCTGATTTTTCCACACTGCCAGATACCCATACATGAAAATTGGAAGTATGTTCCCTGTTGCTTCATAACCCAGCTCAAGGAAACATTCTTCAGTCTCCCCATTGCCCAAAGCTGACTACGGAGCCAAGCAGAGTCACTGAGGGGCCTCCCAGGTGCCTACCTGGTGGCCTCTTCCCACACACAGAGCTTCTTTCTGCCCTCTCCTAGGAAAACTGGGGGTGGGAGGCGGGGAGACTTCCAGCCTGTGCCTCCTATTCTGTTCCATTATCATATCATCAGTGATTTTTTATGACGCTCTCCGAAGATACACTCAGAATCCTCTCCACCAGCCAGGAGTAGTACCGCAAGGCAGGAGGGTTTCCTGCCTGCAGCTAGGTGGCGGTGCCTTTGGAGCAGTGCAGAGAAAAGCATTCTGGCCCAGTCAGAAAACATGGAGTATGGTCTTGGTTGTGCTCCTTACAGGCTGAGGGACTTGCACTTTATCCTTTTGGCCTTAAAGTTCTCATCTATAAATCAAGAGCCAGAACTCCTGCCCTGTTACCCCATAATATAAAATTTATGAATTCTCAATAGCTAGTGTCAGTGAGGCGAACAGCTAGATTTTCAGTAAAGTCTGAAATGTTTAAAGTGGTATTCCATACATGACATCGTGAAGCACAGTAATGCTCTTACTTGGACAAGTTTCTTTCCCATTCTGCCTCTGCGAAGGTGCAAATATCATGCCCACATTGTTGATTCCAAGCCCCTCTGGCTCAAGAACTGGCCTGACCTGCTATCCGGGGTTTGGGAATGTCTAGGAAGACTCATAAAAATTTCGAGTTGAAGGCAACTGCACCCACTGTCTCCTCCTAGCACCCAGAGCACCTGTGCACACTTTATAGTTGCTTGCTTTGAGGTACCTACTACATGACTGTGAGCTCTTGGAGGACCAGCGCCTTCTCTTTATTTTGTCTCACCTATCCCTGCATCCCAGCATCTAGCATGGTGCCAGGCATACAGTGAGTGCTAAGTAAGGCCCTCCCCCCGCCCAACAAATGCATAAACATGTTGTAGAGGAAGGAGATATGTAAAATACCCAGGCTAAGAGGAGTTCTACTCTTGAGCATTGATTTTGCATTGCGCTTCCTAAGAACCGAAGCAATAAGTAAGCATGAATCACTCAGGTCTCTTCGTCTGCAGGAAAGGAAAATCTTTCCTAGATCTGAATCCAAAGGGAACTGATCATTAGGACCTTATACAAAGACTGTAAACAGAATGTAGGAATTTTGCATTGCCTCTCTGTGGACAGATGCCACATCCAACTCATATATCTTCCCAGTAGACTGTTCAACAGAGGATGGGCAGTGGATGTTTTGGTGAATGTAGTGGCCGGTTCCAGAAGAAAAGAATTTCCTGTAAATCCTGTATAGACACTGACCTTCAGATCCTATTGCAATCCAGTGTAAAACGGGCTGGTGCCTGGAGAGTCAGGATTTCTGGGGGCCTGTGACAGCACCTGGGAGTGGGGTGGAGGGCAAGAAAAGCTGGAAGGGTGCTCCACCTGGAACACCTTGTTCCAGGTCCTGGCTTCAGAGCTCGAGGCTTCACTGGGACACCACAGAGCAGGAAAAATGGGCCTTTGGGAACCCCCTCCCCTCTGGTGATCCCAGAGTGAAAGTGAAGTGGCACATGCTTCGGTGATGGGAGGCCTATAAATCCGCTGAGATTGCTGCAGGGAGGGCAGCGGCCCAGCAGCGGACACATTCCCCTAGGAGCCATGTGCTTATTTACCTAACCCTTCACGGCAGGCACGCCAGACAGCTCCACTGCCTTTCTCAAGGATTGGAACTGAGAACAACTTGGATATAAATGAGGTGCTGGGGGAGGAGTGGGAGAGAGCCCATCATCACACTCCTTCTGACTTCAGTAGAGCCTCTCCCTCCCCTCTGGGTATGGTGACCTCACTCTCAGCTATGAAAGCACTCACCTCCAGGTCTCCATCTGCACCGCTGGGAGGTCTTCTCCTCCCAGTCTCCCTCCATCCCCCTCCATCCGAGAAGCACTGCTCAGCTAGGTTACGGCACACTGTCCTTTCGAAGAGTAAGCCGCCTTCCTGCAGTCTTTCCCATTTTGCTCTCTGCATGCATCATCGCATCGGGACCTCACAAAAAGCCTCTGAGCTGGCAGAGAGGTTGTTATTCCCATTTCACAGAAAAAGACACAGAAGCTCAGAGTGGTGGAACCCTCACCAGCAGTCCGGCCACCACAGCGCTCTGGTGCCCAATCAACACCAATCTTTGGATTCTAATCCTGTTGACTCTGCACTAGGCCTAATTGCCTTCGTTAAATGCCAGTTCCTGGGGAGAAAAACCCAGAGACCTTTTGGCTGTATTGACTCTTATCATTAATTCATTTATTAAACTCTTCCAAGAGGCCAGCAGGAAGGAAGAGATTGTCCTGAAAGAGGGGAGGAAGGAGAGATGGATTTGAAAATCTGGGCAAGTGTGTGAGGTATCTTCCTATGGGGTTCTGGGATGGAAGAAGAGTAGGATGAAGTAGCGAGTGTCTGAGGGGTCAAAAGTGGGGGATTTGAATCTGGGACTGCTGCAAGGAAGGGTGCTCAGGGTCAGACCTGGGTTTGCAGAGGTGACCGCAGTGCTCCGTGCAGGCAGCTGCCAATAAACCACGTGTAGCTGACCTGCCATCGTGCGGATCCCCAGAAGAAACACTCTAGGGGAGAAGAAATTGGGAGCCCCACACAGAGGGAAGGCTCACTACATACACATGAGAGAAAGAAAAAGAAGACTATACAAGAGCTGGTCCAGGGTATAAGGCAGAAAGTCTAGTCTGTCTCTGGTCCTCTGCAGGCCCTGCACATTTTGAGAGTTCCATGGTCCTTTCAGGAGTGACATTAAAAATATTTAAAACCTAGTATGTCATGACCGATCAGATTGTATGCCAGATGAAAACCACTTGTGCCACCCTGCAGGTGCATGAGGGCTGGATCCCAGCCCTGGGGCAGTTCCAGCAGGGGCGTGAGTGGATATGCAGTTCCCAGGATGCACCAGGCTGCCTCCTGCCTCTGTGCTAAGCTCATGCTGCCCCCACAGCCCAGCTGTCCTTCCAATTCCCCTCCAAGGCTGGCCCAGGGTCTCCTAGCTAGAAGTGGCCAGGTGCACCGTCTATACTATGCACCTCAACTATCCAACACCTCTCCTCACTGCTTGTTTACAACTCTGAAGCTCCTCTATGACCTTCTTTTTTTTTTTTTTGCATGCCATAAGTTTATTTACAAACATATCTAGTATGTTAGTATGTTGAGTTCAACAGTTCGATCCATTTGTCAAAGAGCCTATACCTCTTAAAGTGCTGCTCTTCACATCTGTTTCATGGAGTAACTAAAACATTCTTATTTCGTAAGCAGTTGCTGTCTTAGTATAAAGAAAGGTGCAGCAAACCCGGATCCAAAGTATACAGTTATCATAACTAGTAACCGGCACTTTTTTCCCCACTGAAAACGGCAATTTCTTCCCTGGCTCCTCCTCATGCCTCCTCTGGACCACTGAGGTTGTGAACCTCCAAATGCCCCTGTCCCAATATAGCACTGTTGGAAGCCCAGCAAAAGGCAAAAGGCGCAAAGACTGAAAGCAGAGGAAATGACCCTCTAGAAGCTTCTTGAGGACAGAAACTATCTTTTTTATCTTTGTATCTCTAGTACTTAGCCCAGTGCCTGGCACTTAGTAGGTGCACAGTCGACATGGAATCACCAGATGAGATTGGTCGTATGACCCAGCCCCAAGCGGTGAGAAGAAAGTACAAGTTGATGAGTGGGGCGCAGACAGCCTTAAAAAGCATGTACCTTGACCCTCCCCTCTTCTTCCTGCCTGGAACTCAGATGTGATACCAAGAAGTACAATAGCTATCTCGTGACTGTGAGACCACAAGCATGAGGAGAAATACCCCTGTACTAGGGCAGAGGAACAGGAAGACAGAAAGAACCTGCATCATAAGGAATGACCTGAGCAGCCTACCCCAGGATTCTTGTTAGGTGAGACCTACGCTCTCTCCCTCGCTTGCTTAAATCTGAAGTCATTTGAGTTTTCTCTTTCATACAGTTAAAAACAAACCTAACTGGTATGGGTCTATAGTTTAGGGACTCTCATAGCAGACAGGAAACCCAAAGGCTGAAAGTTTTAATTTTTACTATCTCCTAGGACTTTACTGTTTAAAGTGTGGTCCCCAGACCAACAGCATCAGTATCTTCTGGGGACTTGTCAGAAATGCAGAATCTCAGACCCCACCCCAGATGTGTTCAATCATAACTTGCATTTTAACAAGATTCCTAGGTAAATCCTATGTATGTTGAAGACTAAGAAGCACCATCCTAAGAAACTCTTCCATGTGCCTGGAAGTGTTTATCTTTCTCCTGTTGTGATTCCTATAGCTGTGAAACACCCTATTTCTAAGTGTCAGTGGATTTGTCACATATATGCACCTGCATTGCTCTGTATCCCCTGACTTAGCATCCCACTATGAACCCCCACTTTTCAGAAGAGGAGACTGAGTCACAGAGAGGGTTATCAGCTATCCCATGTCCAGAAAGAGTAGACAGGCAAGTCTTAAGGAAGCAACGCCGAAGGAGTGTTGCAAAGTCAGAGTAGGCAGCAAAGAAGCCTCGCCCTTTGGCCCCTTGGAGGCTGACTGCAGCAGCCAGAAAGAAAACAGATCCCGCTTTCTTCTCCACACGCTGTATCATAAACAGCTGTATATCTGGAGGCTTCTGTAATCTTCCAGCAGTTTCACATTCTATCATATTTAATATCTGTCACTCGCACTTTGTAATATACAAACAATGCTTTTTCTCAAACCCTTCTAAGACTAATAGTGTTACAAGTCCCCCCCGCCCACCAAGAAAAGCAGAATTTGCCCATCAAACCCTTTTGTTCTTTATTTTTAACTGTAGTCTAGACCACCAAATTGCTTAATACACAGTATAAAGCTCCATAAATAACAGCTTCCCAAGTACAGCCACTCAGCTTTGGCGTGCTTTCCAAGTTCTGCATTAACTCCTCGGGTGTGAAGGGGTTTTCAGCCATTTCAGTCCATGAATATATAACCGGCTGCTTACTAAATGGCCATATAATCCTTACCGCCATCACTTATGTTTTCTTTTATTGCCATTATCCTTGGCGCCTTGACAGAAGAATAAAATATTCTTTCTGGAGGATAAAATGCTCTACATCCTGCATGATTTTCACTCACCCAAATTCCCTGATTTTGGGTTTTACTTCCATCCCCACCCCAAGGAAGTTGCCTCCTTACAATTAGGGGGGATTTCAGATTGGAATTTAATTCCATCTTGTCTTTTCTCCTGACATAACCTTTTCCTGGGGTTGGTTCGTGTGGGAAAGAGAGGACATCTAAGATGGATCCTAAAACTCCTAAAAGCGTAGAGGTAGGGAAGACAGATACACATCAAAGATCGGGGAGCAGGGATGTGAATGCGTATAGAGCAAAAGGTTGGGGGAATGGTTGTGAGAAGAGCTTGGGTTGAGATGTCACAGTGAGTCAGGACACCATAATTCATTGTGAAGCATTCATCTGCCCACCCATTGTCCAGCAATTCAGAGAAACCAATGGCCATGCTAGAGACAAGGCCCCAGAACAAGCCCGCCGAGACTATGTCTCATCCCCACTGTGGCACTGGGCACACGGAGATCCCCATATTCCTCAGGTCTAACAATTCTGTCATACTGAGAGACAACTCTCTCCCCCATCACTTTGTTCATCCACCTGCCACCACCTTACCCAAACTGTCCCAAACAAGTAGGCTCTCAGCCTTCTAATATCTCTCCCAAAGGTTGGGTAGTTGTTGTCAATGAGAATAAGTACACTTGTAACATATAAAAGGGAGTGGTGGGTAGGAAAAGCCAGACAGTGCTAAACTACAAAAAAGAGAGAAAGCTCTGAAGCCCTGGGGCCCGGAAAGTCACACTTCTAAACCTCTGCCCTTTTAGGAAAGACACCCAAACCCCCTAGCCATACCCAGCCTTCTCACCTCCCTCCCCTGGCTGAGGTTCTCTTCAGCTGTCCCAGATGAAGGGAAGCCCTAGATGAAGGCTTAGATTTGCAAAGCACAAGGAACCGGAGGTAGCAAGCGACCCAAGACTCACACAAACCCCTCGTGCTTAAAGGGCATGCATGATAAATGTGCAAGCCCAGGCTCCTAGTCTCCAAACCCCTCGCCCTTATCTTTCACACATCATATTTCTCTTGGTGCAAGCACAACTGACCCTGAAACTAGAGATCTGCCGTCTACTCAAATCAAACACTGTGACCTTTCTTGTCCCCTGGAGGAGGACAGTCCCTGATGGAAATAGGTTGCAGAGGAGAAGGGGCACAGACGCACATTGCTTGATTGGTGGATGTGCCTTGCAGAGTGGAGGTATGGAGGTATGAGGGAGGCAGGGCAGGGGCAGTGTGCTTGGTTCCACAGAAACTCCCTACTGCCTCTTGCTCCTCTCAACAGCCAAGACTGCCTCTCCATTTCCATACCGACTTTCTTACCAGACTCGCAACTATTCCCAACATTCTTTCTTCCCACCCCAAGGGTTCTGGGTGAGGCGGCTTCCCCATAGCTGATTTTTTAGGGGCTTTTCCTAGGAAGTAACACACTCATTGGCCCCTGGACTGGCTGAGCAGCTCCCTTCTGGGGCCCGGAGTAAGCAGGGCTAGAGTGTAGAGTGCTGGGGGAGGGAGCTTCTGTGGAATGCAGCCCTCTCTCCCCAATGCTCAGAGGCCAGCCTGAGGGGCATAATAGAATACATTAGTCCCACAGCGCATTCAGCTCTGCCTCTTTAAGAACAATGGTGGCAACTGAGCTGATTTTTGCCAAATGACTGGCTTTAGTCCATTCTGAGCAGAGTGAAGCCTGCCAGATAAAGTCCATATTCAGGGCTTTAAAAGGGGTTGGTTAATGGGCACAGGGGCACCAGCACCAGGCGACTCCCTGGGACCCACACTCAAAGAACGCCAGTGCCCAAAAAGAGTCTAAGGCTGACGCCAGCTGCAGGCGCCCACCCCTAGACAGGGCTCACACCCATCCTGAAGCAGGTGAAGAAGTTACTGCTCTTGATTTTGTTTTTAATTT